GGGGGGGGGGGGGGACCCAACCATGCGCCTTCCCAAAATCTGATGTTCCTCCGTTCACCAAGAATAAAGCCCATATTTGACCTGACTTTTTTCCAATAGCCTTCATACAATGGATATTTCAAATGCTACCACTTTATTTGTAGTTCTATTGACAGTGGAAATTACAGTACTGCAAGTACCATCTAATGGGGCATAACCTCATTTATCTTTTTCTGTGGACATGGAAAAGAACTAACACAAAGATCTATAATGACTAGGGCTAAAAGATGCATTCCAATGGTCCGCTTTAACTTTGAGCCTACCAATTTATAGGTGAAAGAGCTGATTCCCCAGTTCAGTGAAAAGAGAGAATGTAGTGCTCTTATCCTGGTGGCCCAGATCCAAAATCTTGGCTTTTCAAGGCCATCTCCAATAACAGGCAGCACACGCCAATTTCAGTTTCAACAGTTTACACGGTTTTAGAGATGAAAATGATACTAAGTTGAGTCATTTAGTGAGATGGCCATGAGATAACTTACCTTAATAACAACCAAATAAAGTGGAAGCATAAGGAGCTTAAGTCCATCTCTTGAAGCAGTCATCCAGATCTATAGTATCTCAATAGTAACGTTATGAAACCTCGACGGCTAATTGCCCAATTCATCAATAAATGAAAAAGGAAAACAAAAATAAATGGTAAGCTCTTCCTGCTCTATTAAACCGGGATCCACAGCTAGCTTCTTATTTAATGGTTGTCATTAGATCCTTTAAATGTACATAACCTTTTTCTCTTATGGTTATGTTCTTAAACGTGCAATAACAATAACTTTACTGCTGGATTATCTTTGACCAATGCAATCTCCCTTTTTTTGTTTATTGATTGATTTGGAATCTTTACTTTTGTTGATCAAGCTAGTTTTTCTTGACTTCTCCTCTGGATGCAGAGCAAATGAGAGGAGGAAAACAGGAAAGACCCTGCAAACGTATGCTCCGAATGCAAAAAAGAACGATGACGAAGTAAGGCATGATGATGTGCAGATGTATGATGCTGCTCTGCAAATTATCACTCTTTTCATCATCATTCTTCTTTTCCGCAACAGTAGTCGGAACATTGAAGGTCTCTTCCAGTGTGACCATCTTCCTCCTATTTGTTCTATATTTTACTTTGAATAGAAGCCAAGACAAAACACCTAAATCAACCGAAATTAAGATTCCAAATCAACAAACAAAATGTAAATGTAAGATAACACAGGATTAGAGATAACCCACCGATAAAATTATTGTTAATGCATGTGTAAGAAGATAACAATTAAAAATATGCACAATTAAGATTCTTTACTGTTTCATAGCAGGTTTGAGTTATGGAATAACACACCTGTCTCCTCATCATGAATATCATAGTCCTAAAGACTTTCTATATGTACATTAAAAATAAGTATACAACGGATGGTTTACGCCTAATGTACAATTATAGGTTATGTTTGTGTAAATGCACCTTATCAGAGCGGCAACAACAACATCACCCATTAGCTAATCATCCGCTCCCTTTTCTTGATCACTCTTTTCCGCAACAGCAACATCATTTTGTTGCACATCATCAATTCTTTCATCATCATCAGTATTTTCTGCTCCTGCATAAAAATGAGAGAGGCATTAAGCTACGACACATCACAATTGGGAGAACATGTTTCATAGAGAGGGAAATCATTTTTGCAAGATTGTCGACTGTTAAACAACTTGGAGATTGTCAAAAATCTAATGTGTTGAGTGTGTGTGCGTAGAGTGTGTGCGTGTATGTGAGAGAGAGATTGTACCTGGTGTTTTTCATTCCATCAGTCACAACATACATTTCCATCTCCAGTAAAGAGAAAATACTACTCAATAATGAAATAAGAACCCATTTAAGGTTTGATCATATTAAGAGCCTTCAACGAATTTAATTTAACCAAGTCGGTCAATCAACGTGGAGATGAAGAATTTACTCTTGAATAGACGGACATAGTTGTTAACATATTTGTCTTTTAAGATAAAGCAGCATCTGGTTTGTTCTATCAGCCGCTAATCTTGAGAAAGCATTTTAAGTCTCTTGCACTTGATGGTCAATCACAGAAACAGAAGATAAGATACAGTTGAAGAAGATGTTTCAAGGTTTGCAGGAACCATTCTCTTCTAACATAAAAGAGGAAGACGAGATGGTGCTAAAGAAATATTTAAGGAAGAGAATTTGAGTGCGAAGGACTCATTACGTTAACAATAACTGCAAGAAATCAAAAGGAATAGAACAGAATAGTTTTAGCAAACATAGTATGGGGCTATTTTTGTACAAGGAAAAGAAAAGAAATTATGGGACTATTGCCAAATCCAATTGTAGAAAAGGGTTATTTTCATGGAACTTCTACATTATACTAATGGCATTTGGTTTAGATGGTTTACAAATTTTGTGCCATATGACTGTGCAGGAGTCAAAAGGTATCACCATTTCCTTGTCCAAAAGATGCGTAATGATATTTTTTATTAGTAAGATAGAAATTTTGTTAACAAAACACAACGCTAAGATGGTGATGTAAACTGTACAACCTAAGCCAAACAATATGCTATAGTTCCTTCTAGTTCTGCAGGGAACCAATGAGATCCAACAATAATTCAGCCTCATTTACATATTCCAATCTACATATCGCATTCCTCCGTGTTGGAAACACGCATAATGATAAAGGATTAATTTTTGTTCCTTTTTTCATGCGCATTAAAATAGCTGTTTTGAACCAATATATTTCACATATTAACAGATCTTTCAGGATCCAGTTTAATGGAGAAAGGATAATATTCAATGAAAATGCCAAAATGCTAATACACATAAACAACAAGGTATGACTTTCCTTTAAGTGTTACCATATCAATAACCTGTTTTATTGCCTGCAATCAACCAAGAGTTTGTGAGTTCGAGTCTCCCCAAGAGCAAGGTGGGAAATTCTTGGAGGGAAGGATGCCGGGGGTCTATTTGGAAACAGCCTCTCTACCCCAAGGTAGGAGTAAGGTCTGCGTACACACTACCCTCCCCAGACCCCACTAAGTGGGATTATACTGGGTTGTTGTTGTTGTTGTTGTATTGCCTGCAACCAACATCGTATTATAAAGACAAACACATATATCTTTTGAGAAGGACAAACACATACTTCTAATTCCACTCACTATCATTTGCACTTTTATATTACAAAGGCCCTCGTCTACAGATATTCCTGCTTATTAACTGTAATGTCCACCCAAATGATTTTGTCGGGGGTGTTGGCAGAGGATAAATATGAATGCTTAGCTTTGTGAAGACTATTATACTTTTCTTTAAATCAACTTGAAGACTATTATACATGACATGGAAGCCTCCAGCATCGTTCTCAGAAACCCTAGTATCCTCCAACATCTTTTACAACAATGATGATGATCCAAATTTCTCTATGAGAGGTTTGAGTAAACAATAGAAGTATATGTCAAAAGAAACAGAATTATCAAATATCAATAATGTGAAACTACCTTATCACTCTCATAAGAAGTCGTCTAAAAACAGTAGTAATTGCCAAAAAACTATGCAGGATACTACAATAAGTTTGACAGAGAATCAATCAGCAATTTAGTTGACGGGATGCAACGATTTCTAAAACAAATCAGGATAAAAGTATCCCAGCTGTATTAAAATTTAAGAACACAAAAGAAGAGGATTATCATACCATAAGTCTCTTATGAGGACCTGCCTTTCTGATGCTCTTAATCTATGCATCACTTCATATACTTTCTCTTCCCTTTTTCGACTCTGAACTACTAATATTTAATAGTGCAGAGAGCTCTGCCTCCTCAGGCACAACCCCAGCCTTCTCAGCCATTCCCTTCTCACAAATCCCGAGCAATGCCGGCCCAAATGGTCTAAACCTGGAAAGAATCCCAAAATTATTCATTTGCTTAACCAAATCAAATGCCATATCACGGTCTTGTGGCATTGTGCAATTTTCTGATAAGGGAGTTGCAGTGGTACCGGTGGAAAATTGACATAATAAGAAAATTGGACTGGATTTCAAAAGTCCAGTCCATTTAAAAAGACAGCCGAGTATGAATTTTAAGAGGTGATTTTCCGGTTTTCGGACCGATGATTCAAAAATAGCCAGCGTTTAGTAAGTCAATGAAAAATAGTCACTATTTTGCTGCAACAGAGATCGGTCCAGCATAATATACTGGAGTTCGGTGCACCTGTATATGAACTCCATCATATTATGCTGGACCGGTATACTTTGCTGACTCCAGTATATTATACTGGACAATTATACTTGCTGGAACTCCAGTATATTATGCTGGAGTTCTAGTGTACTTATGTTGGAACTTCATCATATTATGCTGGAGTTCTAGCATACTTATCGTGGAACTCCAGTATAATATGTTGTAGTTCAAGCATACTTATACTGGAACTCCAGTATAATATACTGGCGTATTTTCCGGGTTTTGAATAGTGTTTTCGCTCAGATTTATCTTTACATGAAAAATGGCTAAATTTCGATTACTTTTGAAACTGGCTATTTTTGAATGACCAATTGTAAATCTAGCTATTTTTGAATTTCTCCCTCATTTTCCGAATCTCTCAACAAACAGTAATTAGTAATTATATTTAGCACTAATATAGTTAATAATTAGCATTACTGTAGTTTAATTAAAAAAGTTTAAGAGGCGACTTTTAGTATTTCTTATAGAAGGTATAAAATTACTCCCTCCCTCCATAATAAGTGACCAATTTTGCTTTTTTATTTTGGTCCAAAATAAGTGTTTATTTATATAACCAAGAAACAATTCAATTTGTTTTTCCAAAATTATCTTCATGTACGTATCTCTAAAAGGTCTTTTACTCCTCACATTAACTATGCTGCAACATCTAATTAAAGGTAGTTTAGTCATACTAACTATTTTTGTCTAAAATTTAGTATTTCCTTAATGGATGTGCCCAAAGCAAATTAGTCACTTATTGTGGACCGGAGGGAGTACATAAAAGGGGAAAAATCCAAAAATATGAGACGAGAGGATAAAAAATGGAGTGAACTTTTGTATACATAGGATCCTCATTGAGGACGAGGGATTTTTTTNTTTGGGGGGGGGGGGGGGTGCGGGGATAACTAATAGTTTTATTAATCACCAGTAACTTTACATATCAATAGCGTGTTTATACATCAGCAACTATAATCTTACAAACTTCTAAAGCCTACACTGATTGTCTCTATTAAAACATAAAATATTGCACCATGCTACTAATCCCAATGGTGGCTCTCACGTTACATATGTAGGCTAACTCCCGTGCAATACTATCAACTCCTCTGCTTTTCTTTTCAAACAGACGTAGGTTCCTTTCAATCCAAATGAAGTGAGTTATCTCAGCATATACCATCCTGTAGAATTGAACTCGATGTGTCCTACCCTTAGCACATTGTATCACCCATTGCATATGTTGTTCCTAGTTATCTCCCGCAATATCCTGCCTTTGCATCCAATGTAGGATTCTTTGCCACAATTCCTTTGTAAATCGACGGTTAACAAACTAGTGTTCCTTGTTCTCATCATGAGCTTGGCATAAGGAGCACTTTGGATCTACAACTAAACCCCATTGTATCAGCCTATCTACAGTCAGCAATCTCCCATGTAGTTGCAGCCACATGGTAAATATAGCTTTTGGCCTAGCATTATTTTGGAACATCAAGCATTTCCAATTAACTCTTGATCTGTCACCCAGCAACTGCAGGTAGAAACTGCTTATCATACTCTTTCTTTGATGTTGCTGATGCTGCACCTGTTGAAGAGTTGTTCTAGCATTTAGGATCTATCTCACCATCCAGCTTGCTTGTTGGGGAATTGGCACCTCTTCAAACAGTTTGTCTTTGATGTAGAAAGCATGTATCCATCTTATCTATAGTCGATCTTGCTTGTGTGCTACATCCTAGAATATTTTTGCTAGAAGCCTTGTCCCATAGATGCAAATTAATCAAGTTTAGGCCCTGCTTGATTTAGGTGTACACATTCTGTCCCAGACTACCAAAGCCTTTTTTATGATCATATTTACCCCAAACCAGATGTAGCTTCTAAAGTATGAGTCAATCATCTTCAAGACCTTTGAAGGCAGAGTGAACAGTTGCGACCAATAAGATTGAATACAAAAGAGCACAGTTTGAACAAGCTGCACTCGACCAGCATATTATAATTTCTTTGCTGTCCAGGAAGAAATCTTTGCAACTATCTTCTCTACAAAAGTATGAGGGACTTTTGAAGTGTATGGATGCATATTTAGAATTTAAATTTAATGGATTCAACTTTTAAGTTTTTTAGTATTAAATTTATTATATTATTAAAATAATGAGTTCAAATTTAATATTTGCCAAGGTTTTTATATACATGTTTAGTAATTGTTTTTACGTATAAATGCATATTTTGTGTCAAAAGTTATGAGTTAAGTTAAATTCGTAACCGAAAGGCTACATTTGCCCCAGGATAGCTGGAATTAAGAACCTTAATTAAGATGCTTCCGAGGGAGGAAAAATTAGGGTGTTAAGGGTATATTTTGTAAGTAAAAAATCTAGAAGTGTTATAAAAAAAAGTAAATGTAAATGAATGTTCATTTAATCCAATCATACATTCTATACAATTTACTTCTTGGATAAATGTACCTATTAATTCTTAGGATGTATCTAGTGAGTTTTGGGTGTATCTTGCATACTATAAATAGGACATTCTTTACCCATAGAAGAACACACAAGAAACACATGTGAATAAGATATCTTATACATTCTCCTCCTATATATCTTGTCTCTATTACTATACTAGTAAACTTACCCGCGCTTTATGCGGGGTTTAAGAAACATCAAATTTTAAAAAAATTATCGAGTTAATAACAAATGTAGATATTATCCCTCTTTTTATGAGAAAGAAAGTCGCCAATAAAAAAAATACATTTGGTTTAATTCATAAATTTAATTTAATTGTAGCAAATAATCTATGTGATGTATAGTTAACTGTATATTATCAATGAATATTACTTAAATTTTATCTAATTAAAAAAGTCCAAAACTAAGAAAAATAAAAGTCGCATAGATTCTTAAAACTATTAATTATACAGATAAAATAAAGTAAATTATTGTTAGTTGTATATTGAGAAGCTGAAAATTTCTATGAGAAAAAATATATAACTTTTGACAAAAGATCATTAGGAAGACCTCCTCCTTTTACCTTGCAATATAAATGTTAAATTTTTTATTCCATTAATTTATTATATTATTCTGGTAGTTAAAGCATGCTTTTATTGGATACATTTAATTAAGTAACTGCAGCATTAAATTAGAAAAAATAACACACTTTAAAGAATAAAATTCACCAAGCATTCACAGGAACATTTAATTTTTTAATAATAAAAAAAACTTTCAATAATACACTAAATAAAATAAGAACCAAAACTAACTGTGTGTAAATCCTAACATTAGAATAATGAGTAATATTTGCAAGTTGATTATGAACCTATTAAGTCTTCAATCATCGATAGTATAACCCAAAAATAAATAATACTTTAGTTCATAAAGTTAATAATTCGTTGTCTAGTGATTTTAAACTACTGAAAGCCTACCCTATTCACAGTGTTAAAAATTTTGATCGATAATAACCTATTATTACATGTGATTTCTTAATTAATTAGATTATATTATATGTTAACTTAAAGTTATCTACAAATTGTCAATGTCATAGACTAATGCCTAGTGAATTGAAAGTTTGAATTTTTTGGCACAACCTTCATAACACAAATAAAGCTTTTACGATGATGGTGGTAGTATTATCTTCGTTCCTCAAGAAAGGTCACGACGCCATACTTTTTATGGGGTCATTCTTCTTTTGATCTCATTCTTATTTGCTTTGATTTCTTTCTTTTTCTTTGAACACCAAAAATAAATAAATTTTTGAGTATTATGAAGACATGGAAAGAAATTTACAAAACTTATTTAAAGAAAATTTAAGGAGTGTTAGAATAG